ATCGTGGTACAAATGTTGATCCATTTTTCCGTCAATTTTGCACATCCATCCAACTCCGGCATAGGTTATAGCACTCCATAACATGATATTTCCTCCGCCATGCTTTACGGTAAGCTTTACATGATGATTTTGAAGATCTTCGCCGGATCTTTTCCATGCCCATTGACGCCCGTCGGAGTTAAATCGGTTGATTTTTGTTTCATCTGACCAAATAACACGTTTCCAATCGTCTAGTGTCCAATCCTTGTGCTTATTACACCAGTCCAGTCTAGCCTTGATGTTTTTAAGCGATAATAAAGTTTTTTTTGGTTTCTCAATTGCACCTAGACCGTGTTTGCGAAGTGTTCGACGAATTGTCTCAGGGCTACATTTGATACCCAGATCTAATTCAACACCCTTGGCAACCTTCACTGCGTTTGAGACGCGTTTACGTGTCACTTGTTGTACACAATAGGACTCATCTTTCTCAGATAGTAACTTTGGACGTCCGCCTTTTGATTTTTTTAAGCCTGTGTAACGTTCCTTACTTATTCTGGAAATGGTAGACTTGCTGACACCCAATCGTACGCCAATATCACGCGCTGATAAGCCTGATTGAAGCAAGGAGATTGCTGAATTTCGTGTATCGTCGGAGATTCTTTTCATATCGGAATTTGTAATTTTAACTTTGTAGAAATAACTTGTTATGTTTGGTGGAACGTTATGGGCCATTTAGGCGTCTTTGTTTTTTATTTTTATACCTTGTTCAAGTTGTGGTTTTAATTTTTTCGCTTTATTTGAAAACTCACAAAACTGTCCCAATTTTGGGATTGAACTAAAACTCTTGGTACTTTTCCCCAGTTTTTTTCTGTGTAACATCCTATATATGGTAAGAAAGCCTACAAATTTCTCGTTCGATCAAGGTATAACTTGCTGGTATAATGGAGATCAACAAATTCTGTTATAATGACGCAAAACAAATTCTCACAACATTGGGACAGTTTTGTGAGTCACTGTATATCAGCAAATGGGCCAGCTAATGAAAGAGTTTAGACACACAATGGCACGTCAAAATAATCAGACATTGATTACGGATAAGCCATCGCCTTCCCCCGTCATTCCTGCCCCCACCACTCCTTCTCCTGCCACTCCCACACCTACCAAACCTACCGCTCCTATTCCTGCTCCCACTCTTGCTCGTAAGAGCACAAGAAGAAATAAATAAAAAATAAAAAAGTTACAATCTTACTTTAGTTTGATATTTATTCTGCTCGAATTTCATCCATATACTCTTCAAGTGTTGGTGGACTTATACCAAAGTAGCTGCTGGATTGTCCTCCATTGACACAGATGTGTATGTTTTTCATAAGCGTTGCAATTTTGTAAAAAAGAGCACATCTACTGAGTAACATTTTTTGCCCTGGCTTGTACTTAAGAAACGCAAACAAATTGGCGACGTGCCCAAATTCCCACTCTACAATTATTCTCAATTTAGACATCACATAATTCGCTTCCTTATCAAGTTCATGCATCTGCGCACCTAATAATGTATCGTAAACATTTCAACTTTGAATAATCCAAGATAGAGTATAGCTTATCGTATTTGTTTACATACCAGTTCTGAAAGGCTTAATCAGGATATCACTCTCTACGTATGCTGGATCACCATAAATTGCGTATAGTTCCCCTCCTGTTTCACGAGGATCCAAACATTTACGAAGATCATCCATTATGCCACTGCTGACCATCACAGCTTGATCGTGCATTGCTCCTGCAAACGGTCCGCTTAGACTTACTGTTATTCCATCGGGAGTTACAATACCTTGATACTTTAAGCCGTGATATCTCTATTTACATCTTTAGTAAGAGTATTTACTGTTAAACATAGATTACATACCACATGGCCATTATATACGATCTCTTGATATTCACTTGGTCTTGCTACTCCATTCAAGGTGCCGTCGACAAAGCCAATGACACCTGCAAAGCAGGATCCTGTTCCAAAAGTTTAATCAATGTTAATTTGTTTACAAACCATACCAAATAATTATGTATATACCTTTTCGTTCTGTTGCTTCAGCAAATCTTTGAAGATTAAACGAGTGAAGGTGCTTTGCGTTAAATGTTATCCCTTTTTCGTAGTTGTAATTTAGGATTTCAATCATTGTATTAAATACTGTGCCGAGAGTCGCTTTATTAATCCCAAACAGCAACTCCAAATCCAAAAGTCTGGAAGGATATGCCAATCGTCTAAGCATGATAGCCAATGCATAGTGGCGGTCCAACGAAAATTTCTGGCGTGTGTGCTGTCTAAACGAGACTTTCTCCGGAAAACCTAAAGCTCTGGATACCAATTTAAGCTCTCTGAAAGTAAATCTAAACAAAGATTTACATACTTCATTGCTCAATGTAGAAATATCTAGTTTTTGTCGATTATGCAACGCGTAATTCGTTTCGTTATGCTCCAAACGGGCTAATAATTCGTCCTCTTCGTTGAGTCTTTCTTCGAGTGTATTGATATAGTCCTCGTAAGTACGTATGGTAGCATATAAGTAAAGGATTTGAGACATTTTATGTTAAAAAGTGTTTAAAAAGAGAAAAAGGCAAATAAAGAAAGAAATTGTGATGTAATCTCTCATAAAGTGCGTTTACAAAAACGGTAGTGTGGAAATAGCGTGTATTTACACATATGACGTAATATTCATACTCCGAATGTGTAAATTGGAAAAAATTGCCCATTCCTCTCTATTATCTGTCTGTATCACTACTTGCTGTTTACGGAATACCATGTATTCAAGGGATTCGATGAATGGGAGTCCATGGAGATCACAGTGCTTAATGATGCTGATCCAGTAGGTTTTATGGATTGTAGAACGCGTGGTGAGCGTGTGTTTCGTGTCTTTCAGTTGTTGGGAATGGCTGGTATTTTGGCTTTAGAAGTAATGACGGCCAAAGCATACTCCAGATACCACCGAAGTTTTGAAGAACAATTGGAGATGTTGATGAAACATCTGTTGCCGGTTCTTATGCGTGGATTAAGTCTTCCTGCGGTTAGCTGGATCTATCAAAATATCCAACAAAAACCTGTTGTTTTAAACCAAATACTTTCGAAGATAGATGTTGCGGGTAACATCAATGGGAAGATAATTTTGCAGACCTGTAGTTTGATTTAAGACTCCAGTAGCTTTTTTTTATTTTATCTTTTATATTTACACATTCTTTGGTTAATAAAATTATGTATTTCATCATTGTTGATTTACTTTATTCGAGTGTTGTAACCAATTGTTGCTACTCCTCGCCATAATCCCCGAGTCCGTCTCATACCAGATTCGCGTACTTGATTGTGATCATTCGGTAACTTTAATTAGCATACTCTAAAGTACCGGATGCAGACAAATAACGAGCCAGAGTTTCCGAAGTCCACCCTACAGTTATTTGTCTACAATTGTAGACTACGCCTTGAAAATAAAATTGTATGTCGTTCCTTGTTGTATAGTATATTCTGTTAAGTTTCGCTTGTTTATTGGGGCTATATTTTGGTAACTCGAGTTTGTTATCCGTCTAAATCATAAAAATATTAGAATTCCCGTCCGTTATCCGTCAAAATCCAATAAGTTTGCGTACTCTGGTCCGTTATCCCTCAAAATCCGTTGACTTTAGGGTACTCCGGTCCGTTATCCCTGAAAATCCGTTGACTTTAAGGTACTCCGGTCCGTTATCCGTTGTTATGCGATAATTCAGAGAATTCTGGTCCATTATCCCTACAGATCCGATACTTAAAAGTTCCCTGATTACATTAAACTAATGACCAAAATACATTATAAGAAATTAGAAACGGTTCCGAAATGTTTCAAGCATTCTAAACTTGTATGGGGATTATCTGAGCTAATTTCACATCTAAGGTAAGTCGCAAATTATTTCAGAACATCCTTAAACGTGCGCTGAATTTCAAAAACGTATATACAGTGCCCTTCCAAGTATCGTAACCGTTTAAGGTTTTCGTATTTTGTGTAATGACATCACATACCGATTCATATGGAGACTTTCCAAACATTTTTATTTTTCTGTTTTTTGTTATTATTAAGTTATGGATCCGGTTAACAGCGCTTCGTAGGAAATATATAAGCTATCATCACTATCATAACAACTAAAACCCTTTTTTTTCATAACCTTTACTGAAACATTTTTATTCTAAACATGTAACCCATTTTTGAGTCTACCACATTTTCGGTTAGTTCAATGCTGCTCTAATGTTGTCATTGCTTTGGAGTCTGGTTCTAGTAATGGTGTATTGAACAGATCTATAAAAAAAATTAATCAAGATAACCTGTTCAATTAGTAGGCCTGTGAGGAGTGGATCGGGGCAAGAGCAGAACAGAATAATTATTAGGGTGAGGACAAAAGAAACAGACATTATATCTATTAGCATTAATACATATATAAAAAGGAATGAAGGTAGAAAAAGGTTTATTCAGACGAGCAGGAAAAATAGATAAGATCTTGAATACAGAAATAAGAATAAATAAACATGCTATTATATATCTTTATTAACAGATTGGGTAAACAAACGTTGGGGGGATCAGATTAACAAAGACCGACTATTAGTCATAGGCCGTTCCCAAGAAAAACTTTTTTTACGTTTTGTGAACAAAAGTATTTAGCTCAAAATAGTAATTTAAACTATAAAAAAACATTTTACCAGCCAAAATTTATGGGTGGTTGGGCAATTTACAAATTAGTAATTTATACCCTCGTAGGTGGGGGCTATAAATTACAAAAAAGTAAAAACAAGTGTGACATGACTTAAAATAATATTTCTAATTACTAAGCTAGCATGTCTTATTTACTGGTTGTATATGGGCCACATTGCTATCCTCAGTATACTAAAATTATAAGCTAGTACTTATACTGAGGGGACCAAACCTTTTTACAAATCGAGCGATTTGTTTTTGAAAATAAAGTTTGCTTGGGAACGGCCATATTTAGTTTGGGACATCTTTCGGGTAGCGGAAAGGAACACAGATAATTTCGCAGATAGATACAGAGGATAACATGAGCTGATATTATTAATGTTTTATAAGGGAGTTCAAAGGCAGAGGTACCAAGGAAACGCATGTTAAATGGTTTTACAAGCACAAGGGACAACGGGGATACATTTTTTGGAACACAGGCGTTAGACAGGATACGATAGTGCTGTTTGTTAGTGACATGTCTAACAAAAGACAGGGAACAGGGAACAGGTGGAACAGGTGGAACAGAAACAATGGGCTAGTTGGGTTTCAATAATGGTCTGAGACATTTTGGATGATTATATGCAACTGAAACATAGGCGGTTCATGACAGTCCTCTAACTATCAAACGGCGGGCTGACCGATTGTCTTTCAGTTTTCGACCGGCAGGTTGACCGTTCGTAAATTATTTTTTTGACCGGTCGGTTGACTGGTCGATGTTTAATTGCTAAAACGTGGCTGTAGTGTTCGTTATTTCAAAATATATGGAGCTTTTACAAAAACTGCAATTGCAGAAGGTCAATTATTGTGTCCAAGGCCTATTTGTATATTGAGCTGAAAATTTTATGGCTAGAAAAATAAACGCATTTTCAATTTTTTTTACGCAAACTCTGCCATAAACTTGATATAGTCATACTCCTGATTATTATTCCGCCTAATCACGTGTGCAAGGAATGTCCAAAAAGACAGAAGTTTACTATTTTGGTTGCCATGGAATCTCCTGTAAAGTCTTACCCAACATAATAATTGCCTGTGTTGAAGTTACACAACTCCTTGTAAAGTATATCACTACAGGTGTCTAGTCCTAATGTTGTATTTTGTACGCATTATAATTAACCTGACTAAGTATTTCGATACCATGTCTTATATACCAAATAATGCGATACGAATCATTTCTCATGGAAAACAATTAATATAACCTGTCCCTAAACTTGAACCTGATAAACGTTTTGCTCTTTTTTAGTTAAAATTTTATACCCCAAAAAACGTTTTGCTACAGATTTCTGACAAACGAACGATTGTAACATATCTTTGAAACATAAGCAATTAGTTTAAACATTTAGTTATAAAAACGTTTTGCTGATAGTTATCAAACATTATTAGTGCTAAAATATTAAAGCGGGGGAGCATAGGGAAAGCCCGTCGTTTGAAAGAAACAACAAGAGCAGACAGTAATTGTTTAACACCCGACTTCGATCCAATCTAAGGCTATAAGATGACAACGAAATGCTTTTAATTTAGACATCTCACCCGTCTTTTGAAACGTAAAACAATGAAGGCTTATCGGTTTTTTTCTTACCATTTTGTGCGTATACAATGATGGTAGAATAGACATAAAACAGCTATTTCTGATAGTAAAGTAGCGATAGTATTTAATATAGCTCTCGGCTACTATTAAAAGAAGAACGCGAAAAGAAAAACAGAATAATTCGAATTTTGCACCTACATACAAAAAGTCGCTTTCCGACAGGTACGCGATTGAATCCAAAATGCATATTGAAAGGTGGTGATGGACGTCAAATTTTTTTATCTCTCACTCACTTTATTGTTCCACAACAAACACAAAAAAATCATAAATAACCGAATTAAATAACGTGCATGTTAGTATCAAAAGTGAATGTAAGTACAAGGTAAACCAATCATCTTGTAACAGATAACCAATTATTTTTGTTAGATCCAGAAAACGATGCCATCTTATTAGTCAAGGTTTGAGAATGTCAAACATTCAATTGCCATCCGAAGAAGGTGAGCTCTTTTTTTATCTTAAAAATGTATATATTAAGATGTACATAATCAGAACAATCTACGGCCTCGCCAATTGAGGAGAGACCAATGGCTGTGCCAAGAAAAAGAATGGCAAAAGAAAACCAAGAGGGTAGCTCTTCTAGCAAAAAAAAATCGTACGCCACAAACCCATACGTTGATGACGAGGCGTCGTGTCCAGATGACACTCCAGAATCCGATAGAACCAGTGTGGTTGCACTAGTAGAGGTGCCTACCACCTCCTCAAAGGAGGCCGATGCTATTATCACGCCAACTACCGCAATTCGACAAAATATGTCGATTTTAAGCTCTCAACTGCGACTCAAGGCAATCAGACTATTAAAAATACCTACTATGACAGCAACTACCGAGCAAGAAGATATAGACAAGTTTCTGAAAGGCATCTTCTTTTACGTTAATGCCGGTCAAACATAGGATGTGTTGGGAAAGTGCATCCAATACGTCGGATTCTATCACTTTTTCGGTTTCTTGGAAGAATCCAAATTACAAGGCAAAGGATTACATAAGAAGCACAAGCAAGCAATCAAAGGTAAAACATTCATGGCCTATTGCATACTTTAAAGATTTAAACTTCTTTCAATAGACGGTCAATCCAGTAAATACCAGACCAGACTTTTAAAAGCTGCCGGTAAAAGACTCAATGTCTTACTTAAGGACTTTAAGTACGGCGCTCTTGCCATTGTAATTCTTAACTCCGTTGCAGCCTTTGAGCGATGGAGCTGGGAAAAATTCCCAAAAATTCATTAGTGTGATTAAGCAGGATAAAGCCTTAACAAAGGAATTACAAGATCTTCAGCTTCACTCCTCTTTCTTAGACAAAACTGGAGAATTAAATTACGTATATTATAAAGACAGCGGCTAAATTCGTTCCAATCATATTCGAAATAATAAAGAAGTTCATTTTTGCTACTTGGCTTTAATTCAAGGTCGTAGTGTTTCATTGATCCTAATTGTGACACAATAAAATATCAATACGAAAGACTTTTTTTTTCATCCTCTCTTATCATTAACAAGAGCCACGGCTCTTTGCAAGGTAATTGACAAGATAATGGTAGTAATGTAGTGTGAAAGACTAAGGCGGTGCGTCGGTCCATGAGAGTGCCAGGTCCTATGAGAAGGAACCAGTACGAGATTCTTCTTTCATGTATAGCAACACCAGACAAATGTGGGAACGATACATGCAAGAACGATATTCTACTTAAAACAACGAGCTCGTTTTAATGGTTCTATTCTTGTTCCAAAGAACGATGATCCCATTGACTTATTTATCTTTTAGTACCCTACATTACGCGCACTACACTATTCTTCCCTCTGAAGGCCAAGCCTTGACACACATAGCACCCTGAATGAAAGTCGGAACTACATAAAGTTATAATGAATGCCTTCGAGGCTTTCTAGTGTTATATTTCTAGAGCAAACTTGTTTATTCGGTTTCATAGTTTTTATGAGTCTGAAGTTAGATGAATAGAGTCTAATGTTAGACTCATCTTTTAGATATACGGTTACCATATGTAAGAATCCGGTTCAAAAGATAATAGACACTAATTTTTGAGAGCATCGACGGTTTTTTCTATATAATATTATAGAATTTAACAAACAAGTTCTAGTTCATGAGCGTTAAATTAGCCGCATGGTAAACATTGGCGCGATGGATGAGATTCTATCTCCCTGTATTAGGAGCGAAATATCAGCTTGTTACCGGAATATTTGAGTGGATAACCCTATTTTGGGGATATTTATCAAATTGCGTAAAATAGTTTGCTTGTTTTGATTTCTCATTAATATACAATTGGCGAATGTCAAGAGCTGAAAGGCCATCAGGACAGACAGAATAATACTTGCTTCCAAAAACAGAGTTGTCCACCGAATGAAATTTAACATTTTTACTAAAATATAGCTAAAACTAGTACAAAAATGACATAATCAGTTTTGACCACATGACTAATACGTTCATGTTATACATTTCCAAGAATCAAGTGATGCAGTGTATAGAATATATTATAGGTAGGAGTCACTTGAAATTAACTTGCTACTTCCATATTTTTTTGGATGGAAAATGGGAAAACGTGCTTAAATACTAGCGAGTACGGAGAAATTTATTAAACATATCACCAATTGGCATGGTTGATAATTTTTTGCCAACAACCAGTACTGATAAATAATTGGAATAGTTTTAGCATGATAAAAGAAATGTCTCCACTTCACATGGGGTAAACATCAACGGAATTGACACCGTATGTACCTTCACAATTTTTTAAATACATAAAAAACTCGACAATATAACCAAATAATACTTTCTCGGACACTTCTAACGGACTGACCCAGTTTAGACAGCTTTAGGAGAACACTGTAGGTTCATGGAACAAGTATGAGAACAAAACTCCAATTAATCGTCACCAGCCAAAAGATACATTAATAAAAGTATAATTTACTTAAAGGGAAAAAATAGTTTTCAGAAGTCGAAAAACATTTTTAAAGAGGTAGGAATAGTTTTAATAAAATGCCAATAGCCTGGGCTGTCTAATTACATTGTTAAAAAAGTCTCTACCATAAGGGAGGTGAGACACGACACAGTCAGACATAGAAGCCCAAAAATACTTTGGTCAACTACGCTAAACGTTTGACGGACACAGTAATAAGCATCTTTATAGTAGTGCTAGCTTTAAATAGAGTATCTATCTACCAAACATTAAGGACAGAAAACAATTATTGATCAGAAAACCAGAGAAAATAGCAAAAATGTCGATGTTACAGAATACCTAATAATTATACCATATGCTTAAACAAGTAGTACTTGTAACAGTTTCATAATTGACAAGCTCGTGTTGAAACAAAATATGAACACCAAACAGTCATTGTTTTTGAAGTAAGTCTAAAATTGTTATATTAATAATTAAAAATCGGGTACAAATATTTGATTAACGATATGAAGTGATAACGGAATATCTGTGACGGTGGTAGTACTTGGTAGGGCAGCTTTAATTAAAATATAGAAATGAATCAGCAATGACACAAAGTGAGCAATGAATTTACTAAAAACACGAATAGTCAGTAGTTGATGGAAATTTTTTAACAAAGCAGCAACTTTTGGCACATTTAAAAACTTCTGTCCCTTTCCAAAGACTCTGTCAAATACATACGAGATAGGCAGAACGTAAACTGACTTGTTAATGAACCAAATACATTATAAAATAAATAAAAAAAAGGACACATGAACAAAAAAAGAGCAATATTTCTCAAAAATTGAAAGAACCTTCTAAGGAGATAGGAAAAAATTTGTTAGAGCATCCCCAACGGTTTTTGAATTCCAAATGTAAGATAGGACTGTTTTCCATCTGTTAAAATAAAATAGAACAGATCGACCCCAACGGTTGTAGCTAAATTTATAATCCCGTTCCTGATTTTATTTTCTTTTCTGTTCTTTTTTAAATTTTTTTGTTACAAAAATGAGTAATAACTTTGACATAATTGACAACAATGATATTGAAGATCAACTTATCCAAGAAGCTCTTCAGTATCTTATACAACTTACCGAAGATACACCCAAGAGAGGTGGATCCGTTCCTGGTCGCCGCTATGTTAATAGAAACCGTGCTGCCGGGCATGAACGTCTTTTCAACGACTACTTTTCCGATGACCCTGTTTATACAGACCAACAGTTTCGTCGTCGTTTTAGAATGAAGCGTGATCTGTTTCTGGAAATTGTCGAAGCAGTTCGATTAAAGGATGAATACTTCACCCAAAAACCGGATGCTGCTGGAAAGCCTGGACTTTCAACGATCCAGAAAGTGACCGCAGCTATGCGTCAATTAGCTTACGGTGTATCATCGGATTCCGTTGATGAGTACATCAGACTTGCTGATTCCACAGCCATGGAGTCATTGAAGCACTTTTGCCATGCGATTGTGGCAATTTATGGGGACGAATATTTGAGAGCCCCAAACAGCGAGGATGTCAAGAATCTTTTGGCAATCAATGAAGAGAGAGGATTTCCGGGTATGTTGGGGTCAATTGATTGTATGCACTGGACGTGGAAAAATTGCCCAACTACCTGGCATGGCATGTATACCGGTAAAGAAAAAATGCCAACATTGATTCTCGAAGCTGTTGCTTCCCAAGACCTTTGGATCTGGCATTGCTTTTTTGGTCTTCCGGGATCATTGAACGATATCAATGTCATCAATCGTTCCCATGTATTTGACCCCTTGATACATGGTGTTGCTCCTGAAGTCGAGTTCTTCGTCAATGGCAATAGATACGATAAGGGGTACTTTCTCGCAGATGGTATTTATCCAACTTGGTCGACTTTGGTGAAGACAATTGCAGTGCCTACGTCGCAAAAAGAGAAGGTACCAAGAGTAACAAAGATAATTTATAAAAAACTAATTTACTTGGACTTTAATAGTGTTTTGCTAAGGCACAAGAAAGTGTGCGAAAGGACGTAGAACGTGCATTTGGTGTACTGCAAGCACGTTTTGCTATTATTAAATGGCCTGCTAGACTTTGGGACTTTATCGATCTCAAGGCCATTATGCAAACATGTATCATATTACATAATAAGATTGTAGAAAACGAACGTGGTCAGGATCTTGGAACAGACTACCACATGCATTCTTTTCATGGACAAGCTTACCCTGATATGAATGATCCCGAAGCCTTTGCTGCTTTGGTGAGCCGTTTGGTTGCTTTAAAAGATAGTGATACACATAATCAGTTGAAAAAAGACTTGATCGAGCATCACTGGCAAAGACAGGGCAATATGTAGTACTTTGTTTCAATTTTATTTTTTTATTTTTTAAAAGTTTCTATTTGTCTTCTTCCAATCAGTCTTCTAATCCGTCTTCTAATTCTTCTACTTCTTCTACTACATCTTCTACCACATCTTCTACTTCTTCATCAGACGATTCGTCAGATGGTTGAGAAAGGATTTTCTCCTGTTTTTTCTCGAAGTACGCACGCTTACGAGGGTCAGTCATGACCGAAAGATCCATCGACATGATTCTTTCATCTCGAACTCTCTTGTCGAACCTCATCTTCTTGTTGGTTACTTGAACAGCCAACTTGTTCTGAAGTAACTTCTTCTGGTTCAACTCCAGAAGATCCTTCAAACGGGCGGCGATGCTTTCACCTACCTCGTTTTGGCGCTCACGCTGCTGGAGTGCCTTCAGCTTTTTACACCCCATTGGGCGTGTTACATCCCCAGAAGAAGAACCCGTCTCAGTGTCTTCAATGACTTCAAGACTGCCATTGTTTTTTCTCTTAGTTACAACAGGCTTAGGCATGTTGTACATGGCCCACTTTGGCTCAGCGGATAAGATTTGCCAACAGTGTTCCAAAACAAAAGGAGCACCGTTTTTGGTCGACGTTTTGTATAGAGCATACGCCTTATGGACCTATTATGTAAAATAACAATTTAGTTCTGCTAGAATTAAGCTATAGCCATCTTACCAAATCCTGAGGACTTGATCCACTTTGCTGCACACTTCTCAAAAGAGTTTCGTAGCAGCCGGTGAACTTTTGCACGCTGGGATTGATGGTGTTCCAACGGCTGGTTACGGCAGCACTGGTACGTTCTTCGACAGCATTGTCACCGATTTTGGCATTGTAGTCGGTCTTAATGCGATCCCAAAAACTTTTGCATGTCTGACCTTTACCAATGACACCATCGGTAGCAATGGCGACAAACGAAAGGCACAACTGTTGGTCTTCGGCTCTTGACCAATTTGCTCCACGTCCTGCCTTTTTGGGAAGCTCAGGGATTGTTACTGTTTCGAAATTATCGCTCATGTCAAAAAAATTAAGGGACTAGAATAAAAGAAGAAATTTTCTAAATTTATTGATTCAATTGGAAATTTAGAATATTTGTGATAAAATTTTTAAAATATTCTATTATCCAATTGACTGTTGGGGTTAAATTATTCTAAATCTTTGTGCTATTTTGGAATAAAATGATTTTTTCACACACCGTTGGGGATGCTCTTAGGTTTAGAATAATAATGCTTGAGCGTAAATTCAATTAAAAAAAGCGTAGAAAGGACAAGAGTCTGTTTGTATGTCAACTAGTATTTATAAATGGCTAAAATGTAGCGATTTATTACGAATTTATTTCTAAGTAAATTGAAGTCACGTACAATATTAGCCGTAATAAGTAATCATCAAAAGGACAAGGCGATTATTTATACGCAAAACATCTACTTAGAGTGTATTTATGGAATGACCACGCGTAAGAAAGTAATAACTCCCAAAGCATGAATAACAACATGACTCTTTTTAACAATTTCCGTGCATATTTTAACCAAACACAAAGATCTTCGGATCAGCTTACAATAGTTGCAGTAACGATGGACAGGAAACATAAAATATCTGACAGTTTATTTGAAGAATGTCTTAGTGGGTTGATAATGACAAAATTTTTTTTGCAGTGTCTCGCCCCTGTTTGTACCAAGTAAAAGAAGGATTGATCGATGACTGAGAAAAAAGTACCGACATGTCAAAAAAAATCAAACAACAGGTACGTAATGAGCGTTTGCACAAAACTCAGAATCGAAGGCAGATTGAAGTAGTTTAAGATTTCATTAAACACTACGTTTACCGCGAGCAGAATCTGTAGATAATGAATTGAATCCGTATTGAACTAAATGCCTCCATGAATAAGTAGAAAATAAAAATATCACAAAATATTGTTTTAGCACATTTTTATATGACCACAACAACAGCAGTAATTAAAACAACATGTTATACACTTCTTGCAAGAGTGTGAAGACGGGAAACTAAAGTGTGGTATCAATCAGAAAGAGATTGCCAGAAGGAAAATATTTTATGGAAAGACAGAAAAGTCTTTCTTAGAAGTTGAAAAGAACTTAAAAAGCTTATGAAAACATCGTAATAATCTAACTACGCCAAAACACGTCACCCCAAGCTGTTTAAGCAACAAAAAAAGTCCATCAACAAAATAATCAAGTAAAGGACAAAATAATCAAGTAAAAACTATAAGGTCGTATATTCTCGTGCGAAATATAAGAAAAGATATGTGACCACAGAATTAAGGATCTGTTTAATCCTTGTAGCACATGATGGGGCAATGTCCTAGAAAATATAGTAAGGATTAAACAACATTAAAAAAGTGCCAAACGTCCGAAGCCAATGTAACAATTAGTGGAAGATACATATTCTATCAAAGGATCTTGTTCATCAACGGTTTTTGAAATAATTTCAGCGTACTCCAGAGAAACATTATACCAAGTACAACGAGTTTACAATCATCATATAATCGTCATAAAGTCTATATGGAGTAATTACTGAGAACGAGATAAGGTTTTTATCGCACGTATAAATGAAATGAGACATGCCGAAGAACGTCTGGTATTTCCAAGCGTCTTTTTATGTGGGATTTATTGTTATTCCATCAATATTCTCAAAGAATAGACAGAATGATTAAAGAGACGAAAATGAACTAAAATTAGTTTGTTACGACCACATCCGGAAAAGAAGGAGAAGCCAAATGGATTTAGATTACGATGGAGAGTATATAAACAACACGCAATGTAAGAAAAACACCAATTGACGCATTGTGGGACTAAACACTTTATTGAAATCAAGAAAAAAAAGATAATATCATAAAATAATAGTTTCTTAGTCACGTTCATATGACGGGACATCGATAAACCGCTCTCCCATCACATACTATTAATCTTCATAACTGTTAAGAACCAACCGTCTAAACATTGCGCACTGGCAGAAAGAAAGGCAAACAAAAATAAATGTTTTACATAAATATATACAAAAAAAAATATATTAAAAGTCTGAATGAATTTATAACGTCATGGGAGCAGTGCAGATATATTCAGAATCGTCTACAATATGTAAACAAAAGGCCAGATAGGACTTATTATCAAACAAGTTCGTACAAATTATGAAGTCATAAAATTTTATCAAGCCTAAAAGATTGTACAGGTCACAATTAAGGAGAACTGTCATGCTACATATCATACATACTTATGGATTATAGAGAAAAAGACATATAAGTTACTTGGAATGACAATGGACAAGGACCAAAAAATAAATTACCAGCAGAATATTGAGAGCGAACATAAAATCTAAAAGCGTCAAGAAGCAAATACAATAACGTATGCAGCTCGATTAAGGTGACAAGAGAACCTAGTATTCAGGAAAAAGGTAATTGCCAAGACGACAGACAATTCAATGTACCAAGTAACTAAGACAACAAGATATCTAAGGCGACTAGATATCTTGGACAACCATATGACGAAGATAATATGATATCTATGACAGCAAGACATACGGATAACAGTATATCCAAGACGTCAATGTTACTAAGGTAACGAAATATCCAAGGCAACAATGTGGCTAAGGCAACGAAATCGCTCAGACAACATGATACGCACGACAACGAGAAATATAAGACAACCACATAAATTAGACAGCCAGATATCCAAGGCAACGACGTATCTAAGCAAATATTATATCTAAGACACAAGATACCTACGACAATGGATATCTACGACAATGGATATCTACGACAATGGATATCTACGACAATGGATATCTACGACAATGAGGTAAATAGAACAACAAGATATCTATGACAAGAACATCAATTAAAAGACAACAAGATCTCCAAGATAACATGAGACTTAAGACAACAAGACAATAGTGTTTCCATGACAAAAAGTATCTTGAACAACCAAACAAGTATGGAAACTAAATAACTATGATAACAACATTTCTAAGAGAATAGGATATCTAAGACGACAAGATTTCTAAAATGACAATATACCTCAGAATACCTGTAAGTCACACAAAATAATAACTTAGACAAACAAATCTTTATGACAACAAAATCACTATGACAACATATTACGGAGGCAACCAAATAGCTAAGACGACAAGTTATCTAAAACAACTAAATATGAAAGACAAGGACATCGCCAAGACAACAGGAATGCAGGAGGACAAGATATGCAAGACAACCATGTATCTAAGACAACTAGATTACCACGGTACCAAGTTATTTATGACAACCAGTTACAAAGACAACCAGTTAACTAGGACAATCAGGTACGTAGCAAAACAAGATATATATGACAACACGATAGTCTAGAAAAGAAGATATCTATGACAACTGCATATGTAAGGTAACATGATATATAAGGTCACAACATATCCAGGACATCATGATATCTAAGACAACAAGATCTCCTAGACAACCAGCTAACTATGACTACCAGATAATTATGACTAGGAGACAAATATAACAACTAGATAACTATAACAACTCAATATGTATCACAACTAGATAACTATGACTAATGATATCAATATGACAACACAGATCACTATGAATACAAAGATAACCATGCCTACCAGATATCTATAACAACCACATAACTATGTCAACTAGTTAACTATGATGAATGCATAACCAAGTCAACTAGAAACCTATGACAACTAAATACCTATAATAAAAGGATGAATATGTTAACTAGATTACTATGCCAACAAAAAGAATAACTGCTACAATTAGATCATTACGATAAATACAACACTATGAAGATCAGTTATCACCATGACTATGACTGAACACCATGACTATGATTAATAACCATGACTAAGATTAATAACCATGACTATGATTAATCATTACGACCGATATTGGACACTATGACTATGATTATTCAATAAGACCACGATCATCCCCTAGACAACCATCCAGACATAGACAACTATTCTCTCCTAGACAACTATCCTCACCAAGACAACCCCATGATCACCAAGACAACCCCATTATCACCAAGACAACGAGATTACAATTGATAATTAGGAAATAAGAATACACAGACAAGAAAGTAACTAAGACAACAAGGAAGAGGAAACAATACAAAAATTAAAAGAAAATGATAGCCATGACAACACATCAACCTAGACAACATTAGAACAAAGATAAGAACGTAACCAAGACAACGGGGATATCTATGGCAGCAAAAGATCTATGACAACAGGATACACAAGGATACTATATAACTAAGAAGTCACCAAGACAACTAGATACCCATGACAGTATAAATACCATGCCATTAAACTATAGCTACGGATATCATCGATCACTATAACAATAGTTGATAACCATGACGAATAATGATCACTATGGCGAATAAAGATAACTATGACCACCCATATTACTATGACCACCCATATCACCATGAACAGACATATCAATACCAGACAAATCTTGAAGCATACGACAACGCTGTTGCCTACGACAACGCTGTTGCCTACGACAACGCTGTTGCCTACGACAAGGGGAGTCAGAAGGAGTAAAGGGGGATAAGAGAAGTAAGGGAATATAAGTCAAATAAGGGTATTAGGCGAAAATTGGGGGTTGGGGTTGAAGGGTTCCAGGGTATGTGACACAGGACGGAGCTCAATCTGAGCTAGAACACAAAATCCTGACTGCTATTTGCTCAATATTAATTCAGCTGCACAAAATCCTGACTGCTATTTGCTCAATCTGAAGCATGCATAGTGCAGACAGCACCCTGTTACCAAGGTTCGGTTGTAGAAAGCCAGTTTTCAAGATGAATAAGCCTACGCATGCAAGATTTCTCCCAACAATCAGGTACCATTTCATTTCATAACCCAAAAAGTCAGACATCCAAAAGTCAATCACCCAAAGGTCAAGAAATTGAATTCCGGATCCTGAATATTTAATTACCGCTCATGTAGTACCATTTTAGGACCATTTGGGCTTAAAAATTCAATTCCCGCTCACGTAGTACCATTTTATGACCTAATGGCCATAAAAATTCAATTCCCGCTCACGTAGTACCATTTTATGACCTAATGGCCATAAAAATTCAATTCCCGACTCTGTGCTACCACTGTGTGACCTATACATCGAGATAATTCGATTCCGGGCGATGTCCTACCACCGTGGGACTTACAGACGGAGAAAATTGAAATCCAGACGATGTAATACCATGCCATAATTTTACCATGAACAGAAAAATATTAAATTGACATGTTGCCTAAACTCCTGCTAGTAGACACACACTACTGTATGTCATCCAGATCGTAATGTACAACCTCCTAACAGCCTACATAAGAGAGCCTAGTCATGGCTGTTATTATTCCTGTTGCTGGTATACTCCTTTCAATGTCCCCAAAATGTGCAAGATGTCAATCAGTTACACCTAGCTGGTTACTATATTATATGAGCCACGTGAATATCATGTGATCTCACGTGAATATCATGTGACCTCAACTGATTATGATGTGACCAGAACAATGGCAAATGGAGCCATGAAAAACATTGAGTCAGACAGTGATAGTAGCTGTCAGGAGGGGATAGGCAAACAAGACAGATGGAAGAATACTTACAAGGACAAAGAAAGAGAGGATAATTATTCTATTTATTATAAAAGAGAGAGAGAAAGAAGTAAAAAGGAGAGACGGTTATTAAATAATATATCTGATGAAGGTAAAGAAAGAAGAGGGATAGTTCGGCTACATTAAAGGAAAAAGGTTTTTATAGTTACTGTATTTGGCTCAAAAATAAGCAGTGATCAGATGTAATAAGTCATTAGTTATAACAGATTTAAAGATTGATGGCTAAGACGTAGTATTATTTCTGGCCTCTACTTGACATTTATGAAGCAAGGGAGACGCATTTTGAAAGTGTATTATAACAAGCCCATGTTATTTGTATCTGTTTAATATAAAAGGGGCGTAGTGAGTTCAAACAATAATGTTATTTGTTGAAGATGCACCTGTCATTAGTATATAAGTCACTAACAGTATTACTAGTGCTTTAGATGTTCTCTAATTGACCTTGCATATCACCATCTCTTGTATGAAACAAACAAAAGCTTACCATAAAAATATATCTACTTAGCGCTGAGTACACTAGAAGAGGGGTCTTAAATTCACTTGAAGCAGTATTAACATTATAAAGAAGTTACATCTGAATGGCATGCAGTGATACTGGGACAAGACGTAATTATGGAAGCCCTTTTTGACTAGGCTCTTTTCAAGTCATTTCGTCTAAGAGACAGTAATTTAAATTCAATACAAGATAATCCTTTACTAAATGCTTAATTTGCTCTTGTATGCATGTTTGTTAAGTCGGTGCTTCGTATTTGTTGAATCGGTGCCTCTTATATGTTCCGTATTTGCATTAGAGTAGTCTCTACCATCGTGAGATAGTTTTCTGATGCACCAGTCGTATGGTTGATATCAAAACTAGGCTATAAAGTTATCAAAGTAAAAATAACTTGTTTTCAAGAGTCAAATGATGTCCTACTTGTATTTTTACTGTGTCTAAACTAATAGTAGATCCAATCTGGACTTACGATTCAGTTGTTTATTCATTTTACTTGAAAAGATGTTTATCCGTGTATTCTTATTTAAGCCAAAAGAAATAAAGTAAATACACTGTGATATGACTTGAAAATGAACAATAAAGTCAAAGACTTTTTTCTGTGGCAGCTTGAACCTTCCACATTTTTACACAAGGATTAAGAAACACTACGAACGTGTATCCAGTTAATTTCTGAATGAAAGCTCAAGAACTGGTCTCTAGCGGAAAGAAACAAAGTGAAAACACGCTAAAATGACTTGTACATGGACAATAAACTCCAATACTATTTTCTGTCACAGTTTCAAGATTTGCACACTTTACGCATCGATTAACAGACACTAAGAGCGTGTCCCCAGTTAATTTCAGAATGAAAGCTTACGAATTGGACTCTAGCCGAAAGAAATAAGATGAATACTTGGTGAAATGAATGGTAAAATTAGAATATCGTAAAATATACTTTTTGGGGGCACTTTATAACAACCTTACCTTCAAAAGTCTGTTTGCCTTAGTCTGTTAAGTATTCTCAGTTAATTTAAAATGGAAATGTCAAAAAATGAGCTCTAGCCGAAAAGAATAAGGTCGAAGGCCTAAGTTGGAACAATGTAGGAAATGTTTCTTTGAAAAATACAATGCAACTTGACATTTCTACACCACATGCATACACGAGAATAACACGGCGGTGCACGAGTATAGCACGTTGGTACACATTCAAAACAAGTGAATAACACGGCAGAGCATGTTTAAGACACAAAAACACGTGTATAACGCGTCCGTTTAGCTTGATAAAGCATTCTATTCCTGTATATAGAAAAGCAAGGTATGTCACGTGAAAGTCACGTGTATTATTAGTTATAGGCGTATGTTGTGTTACACTACCAACGCGAAACTCCGCCAGAATTATAGCTTAGGGGGGAGAGCGTCGGTCTTTAAAAGCGGGGTTTAGGGGTTCAACCCCGGCTGGCTTCACTTTTTTGCACTTTTGACACAGCTACTTTTAAGCGTAATCTTCCCTACCAGTGTATTCCTGAGACTGAGGCGATTCACCCACATTTTTTTGCTAAAGATTTAATAAGAAAAATATTTCGGAATATTTAATTACCCATCTTTAGTCAGAGTCGGTCAGTGACACTCAACTTTTATATAGAACTCGAGTCGGTGGAGTTGGTCAAAGCAAGGGAATTATTTTTTTATGCTTTTATTCGTTATTAAGAAGGCTTATTCGCATGAAGCCAAAGTTTGACAAGTGCAAGGGCTTAAATGGGTTATGATGAACGATCTTTATTGACATAATTGTAAGAATGAGGCAACAGTGATGCTACTTGTACAGTATTCAGTCAACAATGTCCAGGGTTCATACAAACTAGTTGAGCGTTACAATATTGGTTACTAAAGGACAAAGTAACGAAATAGGGTTGGCTTTGTATCCACTTTCTTTCATTCACTTGCTGAACTCCTATCTTGACTATAAAATGTTGAGGAAAGTTTTAGGAGTCCCATT